TGTCATGTTTTTACTCAATTATGATCGATTAAGATCATTTTTTGTACAAGAAGCCCAAGTCTTTTTAGGTCTACCACTGCCTTTCTTAACATAAGTTGAATCTAAAACATCTACTCTCCTAACAGGATCATCAGATGGTCGGCATTTAATGTGACCAAAATCAGCATTTAATGTGACCAAATTTAATGTGACCAAAATCATCTAAGGCGGCTCTCTCTAATATTGTCTAACACTAGAGCTACACAAACTCTATCATAGATATATTCATTTCGTATTTTGTCTCTAAAAGTCAAGCCACTCATCCACCTAAGCATTCTCATCTTAGCAATACTTAACTTTGTTTTATGCTTCTCTTTTAAATGCCAACATTCTGTATCATACAGCATTGCATGTCTTACCATAATCTTATAAAATTTTCCTTTCAATCTAAGTGGTACTTTTCTATCACACAATAGGCGCATTCCTCCACTTCAACCAACTAACTTGAATTCTACTAATAACATCCCCATCTATATCACCATCACTTTGAAATATACACCCGAGATACCTAAAAAAATCACACCTTTTATTGATTTGATCACCCACAGTTACAATTCTGCCACTAGAGCTGCTACTACTAAAATTACATTCCATGTATTCAGTTTTATATCTACACAAATGAAGGGATTTAGACTCCAATGTAGACCTCCATAATTCAAGTTTATCCTGATTTTTTTCTTAGTTTTATCCGCCAAAAGGATATCATCAGCGAAAAGCATACACCAAGATACATCCTCCTGTAAATGTTTAGTCAGAGCATTCATAACTAAGGCAAAACGATAAGGGGCTTAAAGTCGATCTTTGATGTAATCCAATTGAAATAGGAAAATACTCGGCCAATCCTCCTATTCGAACACAAGTAACAGCTCTAGTATACATATCTTTAATGGTTTGAATATAAGCCATATGAACACATTTCTTCTCTAGAACTCTCCAAATGACTTCGCTTGAAACCTTATCGTAAGTTGTTTCTAAATTAATAAAAATCATATGTAGATTTTACTTATTCTCTATGTACTTCTCCATCAAACCTCACAATAAATGTATAGCTTCCATGGTAAACCTGCCCCGCATAAATCCAAACTGGTTATGAGTATTTTTATATCACGTCTTAACCTATGCTCAATTATCCTCTCCCATAATTTTAAAGTACGACACATTAAATTAATTTCTCTATAATATGCACAATTTTATATATCTCCTTTATTCCTAAAAATGGGAAACAAGATACTCTTCCTCCACTCAAGCATCTTTTAGCTTTAAAATAATATTAAAGAGTGTACTAAATCGAGAAGCCCCAAATCTCCTACATATTTTCACACTTCAATTGGGATATCATCAGGTCTTACTAATTTTCCACCATTGATTTTCTTTAATGCCTCCTCAACTTCCTTTTTACTAAAGCGAAGATAAAAATAAAATATTTTATTATTATTAGGTCTATCATATTTTCAGAAACTTTATTGAAAAGTTCACCCACCTATGTTGAATATATTCTTTTAAGAAAAATAATTTTTGATTTCATCTTTAGTACACTTACTATGAATTAAATCTTTAGTTATGTTTTATCTTTGTTTGGCTAGTTTATACCAATATATTTCACCCTCTTTAATATATAATTTATTATAAAGATCACTAAAAGAAGAATTTTTAGCATCACAAATTATTCTCTTAAACTACCTAAAACCGCCTTATATTTTTTTCCAGTTCTCTAAGCTTTTACATTTAAATCAATTTTCATGACACAACTTCTTATATTTCATCTTTTCTTGCACACCACTAACTATTTTTATTTATAAAAGCTTTTCATTTTGATTCTCCAGGCATAATTTGTCATTTGATTAATCGTGTTTGTTGCTTTATCCCAAATAGAATTCGCTTCATCATGAACATCCCAAATTTTTAAATCTTGAAATTTACTCATAAAAATAATTTTAATTGTATCTTTTAGGTGCCCTCATCTAATTTTATGACAATATTTTATTGTATTCTTTATCTCACAACTCTCCATCTTAAATCCAGATCTAATAATCGATGTTGAGTAGTTAAATTTTCAGTTGGAATAACATCATAATCTTTACACTCTCGACGGGCTTTTTTTCTCATAAGAAAATAATTAATTTGTATTTTATTAAATCAATTCTTATAAGTAATAATATGTTTATCTTTTTTCTTAAATAAAATATTAATAATAACAAAATCATATGCTAAAGCAAAATCAAATATAGTTTTACCTTCTTCGTTATTCACTCACTACAACAAACAAAATTCTTTTCATCGTATTGTTATATAACTCGTACTATCGTGCTAACTCATGCAATATGGATGAATGCAATAGAGCAGTGCATTATGGGGTTTACACAATACTAATCAATCTCTCAAGTGCTGTGCTTTATAACTCCATAAACTACTATCTCTGAGAAACACCTCCGTGATATGCTTCCAAAAAACATATGATATACCTTAGAATGCAAACTATTATATTACACATCAAAACTATACAACATAACCTATTACACAGCCCTATTCCCCTTAAGCGTCATATTGTTGTTTCAGTTTTGTGCATACTGTTGAACTTTTTTCCAGATGCAAATTTCATGTATGAAAACAAATATTTTACTTACAGACATGCAAGCAGGAATCAATTAGTTATCTTGTAGTTGTTTATGAAGAATGGCGCAAAAAAGCAAATTGAAGTTCAATGTTCAGTTCTGTAAGACTTCTACCAATTATTCAACTATCAAACTATTTTGAAGTATTTTAATAACGTTACAAATAAAGACAAATATAGACTGTACCACATGACTGTTAGTTCGACCACCCTAACCACCACCCAATAAAAAATAATATGAGCATAAATAAGTAAGAAAAATTATAAATACATTGGAGTTTGTGAGCAAATCTGTCTCAGTTCAGCTCCATTTACAGATTTGTGCTTCTCAAGGTAGAAATTTATACAACTCTTCCATTGGAGCTCAACAAATACACTCTAACCATACAGCACATTACATGAGAGTCATAATTGGAATACGTATTCTGAATATGAGGCTGAATTCAAATTGGTTGTATTGTAAGATAACTAAGAGACGTATTTCCTCTCAAGGAATAAGAAAGTTTGGCAAACACTCACCAACTAATTATAGTAAACTCGATAGGATGCACACATTTAGCAAGAAAAGGATGGATTAAAACATTTATTCTACTAGGTGGAAATGTGAGAACCGCCAACATGATACGTCCTTAAAAGTAGTGAAAAGCAAATGAGACTCCAGTGTGTCACAAAAGACGAGGAGGGGGATTGTTGATACTAATCAACACAATCGACCATGACCAACCTGCAATTGCATGAATAAAGAGATATTATCTTGAATATCAGTGAAGGCGTTTGTAAGCTAGGAGATCCATGTCCCTCTTCCTTCCGAGTGTCTTAATGATTTCATTATGCAAGAAGGATGACTATGAGGCCTTAATGCATCATTTTGTGTGAAGGAAGACAATGACGACTTCGAGAAGTAAGGGTGGTATTGAATCAACACAGTTCATGCCTTTTCGAAGAGGCAAACTTTTGTGAAGGGTGAAGGGTGGCAAATTATTGAACTCATCAAACATGAATATTGGATCATGCATGCTAGGCATTCCTCCCTTTCTCGCAACAGGTCAGAGATGACAAAGTAGTCACCTTGCTAGCCCTGAGGGGACCAATTTTGATCTTGATCTCTCACCATCTCCACACGAATTGCATGCAAAAAGATTTTTGATACAAACTAGTCAAGCCATACTTGAAGATCAAGGGGTGGGTTTGGTAGATAAATTTAGGATGATATCAGCATAATCTGTCAAAAGAAAATCACCTCACATGGTCCTTTGATCTTCTAAAAAAACCATTCAAAAGCACAAAGGTAATTCTTGGAAAAGAGCTTCATGAATACATCTTGTAAAAGAGGTATGAAGAAATAGGGAAAATGTTATCTAATTAGGCTTTGAGAAAAAACATTAGATCAAAATTATGAAGGGAATTATATTGGTTATAAGATTTTTCCATGACTGGAAGGGAATTGAAAGAAAATCTCATATGCCCACACCACACTATGATCTTTCACGAGCATAAAATTCTTCTGGCTAAATGTTAGCCTGGGCTCGTCTCTTAACTTGAAAGACAACCCAATGTCCCTCGCGAATCTTTAGTGGTTGCTCTAGATCCATGAAAGATGAGGCATTGGGTCTAACTTGATCCCATGTGAGGCATGGCTAACCTAACCTAGGAAAATTAGGTTTTGCATGGATAATCCTAAAGTATGGCATATGTTAAACCCCTTCATGCACAACAATTTTATTCGAATAACAGAAATCGCCAATTAGTGCAATCAATATCAGCTAACTTTAAATTAAATCGATAAAAAATAATGCGCAGTAAAATGTTAGAAATGTAAAATTAACTTGCTGATGCCAAGAAAGGGAGAAGCATGAACTAAAGAAAAAAAAATGGAACAGAACGCCATAAGAACAAAGCAAAAACAAAGCTTGCCACTAGATATGATTTATGATTTCTGCATCACAAATAATTCCGGCAAAATACGGCATGCTTTTCGGCAGCTAACAACCGTGAGAAGAATATCCATCAGAGACACACAGCTATTACACAAAATACCAAAAAAAAAAAAAATCCAACAGAATGCTGGGTTTATCAACGCCAAAGCACTAACCCAACCAATATGTCAACGCCCAGTTAGTCGGATCTTCACTGAAGAATATATCAATGCACATAAATAAAAAGAATCACAAAAACAATAACTATCTAAGAAGCACAAGGAAATAAAAAATAAGATCTGGTTATAATCACCAGAACCAAAGGCGCCAAACCCTAGATCGCAAATTAAGAAGCCGAGAACAGTTTTCCGAACAAGAAAAGCTTAAAACCAGACAAAATTTTATTAGAACAGCAGAGTGCAAAATTGGATTACCCAAATACCAACTTGATCGCGGATTGAGGCCACGAATACGGGGGGCGAGCTTTCTCCTGCCGCCTTCCTGCCCCTCAATCCAAAACTACGAATTGAAGGAAGACCGAAAAAGACAACCAGAATCTACCTCCGGGCTTTTGATGCCTCCGGTTTGTACTGTAGTCTGGAGTCAGCAGGCGGGCCATGGACAAGTGCGACAATGCGAACGTGCTCGAATAATTAGCTTATGAGCTGATTAACGCAAAATATATTTAGAATTTATTAATTTTAAGAATTTAAATGTAAATCTAATAGAAATATTGTGTAATCTTTTCTCCGCTCGTCCAACCGTGCAGGTAGCCACTTCAGAAATTAGGTCGGTAATAGTTAGGTTTTTGTTTGGCTCAATTCAAATTTATTCGAATTAGCTCTCGTTAGGCTATATTTTGGGTTACATTCAAGCTTACATATTATATTCATTTTAGCTCATTTGACTCTAAAAGAAAATTTTTTTTCTTAAAATATTTGTTTCATCCCCCACTTCATCGTAGAGTACAAATGAAAAATGATTTTTTTCAAGTTTAGATAGGATTTCTAATGGGAATTCTTCGTGTAGAGGAAAATATTTGCGTACGTAAGACGTACGCAGTGTTGCATGCGTCGGAGGTTATTCAGAGAGTACACGGAGATTACATCCGCTTTATACCCTTATAACCCCTCTATAACTTACCTGCACCTATCAGAACAACAGAAGCGCGGAACTTATTTGTATGTTACAGGTATGTTACAGGTAGGTTACAGGGAGGTATAACGCGAATATAACCCCTTTATATCATCTGAATAACCTCCCGACGTTCACAGATGTGCATACATCTTAGGTATGCAAATATTTTCATGTGGGACAAAAAACTTGGGCGATGGGACAGGTGGGCTGCGAAACTTTTAGATTATTTGCATACATGACTTCCAATTTTATCTATTTTATTATACACATATGACCAAAAAAAAAAAAAGATAAGCTAGCATGCCACAAGCAAATTATTGAGAAAAAATTGGCATATTTACATGCATACCATCCAAATCCTATGTATTTACATATCTAACACCTAAACTTATATTTTGTTTTATAATTATATCACCCAAATAATTTTTAAAAATAATAAAATTTTAGTATTTTTAATTACAAATAAAAATATCATTCTTTAGTTATTTTGAGCCAAAATTAGCAAACACGAAAGAACAAACATTTATTCGTGTTCGGCTTGTTTATAAATTGAGTTCAAAAAATCTATTTGAATTCGACTCGCTTGTTCGGTGAACAAATCGAACACAAGTTTTTTTTTTTTTGCGAACGACAAGCTTTTTGGCTAAGCCTATATACATCACAATGCTTCATACTCAACAAAATGCTTCATACTCAACAACCACACGATCACCACCTTTACTTAGAAGTGGCTCTACAAATGTATAATTATTCTATACAAGACGCATTTTTAAAAACTTCCTTTATAACAACTATAATATCGATGAAATAAAAATAAATTTATCCTTTATATTGTTGTTTCTTTCCTTGTTAGGCATTATTGTGCTTCCATGATATCATAGATTTAGCCTCGCCACAAACTAAGTGCTTCTGATTCAATACAATGTCAAATTCCAACAACTCCATGAAGAACAACGACAGCTACTTCATTCAATCGAAAACTCTCACCATCCTACCTCAACTTAAGTTTTTAATGGCTGATATTAAATAAGGCGCACTCGTCGTATCATCAAAATTCACATGATATGAAGGTTTTGGGTCACCAAATTTAAATTTTTAATGCCAAATACTAAAAAATTTATTTGCACCCATCCTATCACTAAATTCAAATGATATGAAAGTCTTAGGTCATTAAAAAATTCAATGTAAATGGATATAGGAATATTTAGAAGGAATTAACCCAACTCTACCAAAGTGATCATGAAGCTCGATATAAACATCCATTTCAATCTTATATTCCAAATTTGAACTCTCATTAATCAATCTAGTAGTGTGATTATTTATATCCATAACCATAGCCCTGGTTCTCCCTTTCATCAAGTTGGATTCATATGTTGATAATTGGGCCACAGTAACATATTATTTACCATCCACCAACAATTTCAAAGCCGTCCAACTCTAAAAAGGGCTACATGATGTCTAAAAAAGGAACATTTCATGGCTCATCCCTTTCAGACATATGATAAAAATAAATGCACTTGTTGTCACCGATTCACCTTTGAGTTTGAAGGATATGATACCATACATTATGGATATTTTACCTCCAATATACCAAGTGTTTAAAGTAGGCGTACAAACCAACCTTCAACCATTGAGCATCAATGATATGTACTTACTATTCTATTGTGAAGGGATAGTATTGGTTATTGAAATGACAGAGGATCAACTGATCTCATAATTAGCCTAAAAACCAATGCCCCTAACAGACACACTTAAATAATGAAGACACCATGCCAACACTCCCATGAGACTCTTTCGATGTCGCAATAATCTCCCCTATAAAGTAGTATTCCCATTAAAGACAGATGTTTGTCACTACCCAATATGAATGTCAAATATGTGGCAAATGAGGACATTCAGCCACATGATGCTAAAAAATTAATTTTGACTATAACAAACCCACTTATCTTAAACAATCAACTTCTCTCCACAAGAAACCAAATGGTTCATAGACTGTGATGTCATATCACATCTTACATTGAATTCCACATAAATACACAACCTTCAAGTAGCTCGTGGTACAAAATTGATTTCCATTGAGGTAAGGGATATTCTCCCAGCCCTTCAAATCAAATAAGGCATTTTTCCATGCCTCGTCGTAAGACTCTTATCTCATCTACACCACATTCCTAATTTCTCATATAATCTTCTCACCATAAATCACCACAAATCCAACAATTTTGGTTCCATTCTTACTAAAAAAATGCAAAATCTAATAAACACTTCTTAAAAAGTTCGAGAGAGAGAATGGTCTCTATCTCTTTTCCTTAACATCACAACCCATCTTAACTCCATACGACCTCACTCTCCATGCCAAAACAACATCCACCAAAATGAAAAATAGAAGGGCCTAACATTCTCACTCTGTTATACTATCTACCTTAGCAAAAATCAACCAAAAAATATGTATATTTCCTCCACCCTATCTCAATTTAATTTTTGAAACTACTTAAAAGTTATAGGAAACCCTTTGTTTTACAAACTTTGAATAGTTCAACCCTTCTTAGTAATTTTCACTTAGATGAATAGGGTCCCTTCATGGTGCTCTCGGAAGCAAAAAATCAACAAAAATATGTATTTCTTCCGCCCAAGTTCAACGTAATTTTGTAACTACTTAAAAGTGATTGGAAACCTTTTACTTTACAAACTTCAAATAGTTCAACCTCTCTTAACATTTTTCACTTAGATGAATGGGTCCCTTCCTGGTGCTCTTGCCACACGGATATAAATATTATATCAAATTTATTGATGATTTTTCTCGCTTTATACACCTCTACCCAAAGAAAAATAAAGCACCATCTTAAATTTGAAGCAATGGTGGAATGTCAGGTCTCAACCCAAAAAAGAATTCTCCACTTAAATAAATGATGGTGTTATATCACATTTATTGATAGTTTTTATTTCTTTACATGGCTCTATCCAAAGAAAATTAAAGCCCAACACAATATAAATTTCTAATGTTTGACACAATGGTTGGATGCCAAGTCTCAACCCAAATAAGAATTCTTCACTTAGATGATGGTAGGAAATAAAACAATAAACTTCACACCGTCCTACTCTGATATACAATCATATGCCAATAAGCCTTCCCCTATACATCTGAATAAGCAACATAATCAAATACAAGCATTGTCATATAATTGAAAAATCTCATGTTATTCCTAATATAACCATCCTTCCATTTAAATAATATGCAAATTATCTTTTTAGTAAACCATTTAAAACGACTCTCTAATTTTGTCCGTCACTGAGCTACACCAACCCTATCACGATAATATTCATTTCGCATTTTCTTTCTAAGTGTAAAGTCACTCATCCACCTAATCATTCTCATATTGACAACACTTTACTTAGTTTTATGCTTCTCTTTTAAAGGCCAACATTCAACACCATAGAGCATTGTAGGTCTCACCGTCCTCTTCTAAAATTTTTCTTTTAGTCCAATCGGTATCTTTCTATCACACAATAGGCCCCAAGCATTCCTCCACTTCAACCGGCCAACTTGAATTTTACTAACAAAATCACCATCACTTTGAACAATAAACTTAGATATTTAAAGCGTTCACACCTTTTAACAATTTGATTATCCATAGTTACATTTCTGTCATTAGAGATACTACTACTAAAATTACATTCCATGTATTCTGTTTTAGTTCAACTCAAACAAAGGCTTTAGACTCTAAGGTAGAACTCCATAATTCAAGTTTTTCTTGAGTTTTTTCTCTCGTCTTATCCACAAGAATGATATCATCATCAAAAAGCATACACCAAGGTACATCTTCCTATAAGTGTCCAGTAAGACCATCCTCACTAAGTCAAAAAGATATGGGCTTAAAGCTGATCCTTGATGTAAACCAACATAAATAGGAAAATATTTGGTCAATCATCTTTCTGTTCAAACACTAGTAATGGTTCTTGTATACTTACATTTAATGACTTGAATAGAAGTCATATCAACACCTTTCTTCTCAAGTACTCTCTAAAGGATATCTCTTGGAATCTTATCGTAAGCTTTTTCTAAATCAATAAAAATCATATGTAGACCATCCTTATTCTCTCTGAACTTCTCCATCAAACCTCTCAATAAATGTATAGCTTCCATAGTAGACATGCCCGGTACGAGTTCCATGATGCTTGACATGGCTTTTCATGTATTTTTTTAGAGTCCTTAGGGAGTCTGCATTAGAAATAAGGTATGGCACAGGTTCCAAGACACTTGACGCCGAACCATGTGATTGAGACAGGAGCAGTATCTCATGTCATGTACCTTAAGTATGAATTTTTTGCTTGTATAGAAATAGGGTCGGATGTGGAGCTTGACAGTTTTTCCTATTTTATGGGTTATGTTCTAACCAAGTGGCATCCGACCTGTTATGTATTCATTTGCTTTGACTTGCTTTACAATGCACAATATGTTGATTTTTTTGCTTTCTTATTGCTTTGTGGTTTGT